CATCATCATCATCATCATCATCGTCATGTTCGTCTTCGGTGTCCTGCTCATCCCGTTTCTCCTCGTCCTCCTCATACACGCCTCGATTCTGCTTCATCCATCCCCCCTTGCCAACCAGCATCCAGGCCTCCTGCACCTAATCATTTGCCGCAGGTTCGGCAGCGCCTCGTCCAGTGCGGCACTCCTTTTTACGAAGCTCGCACTCGGACATGGGTTCGGAAGAGCGCCACTATACTGTAAGACGAGAGCTACAACGTCGCCCAGAGAGTGTCTGGTGGCCAGCTCACTGCCGAATCGATCTCTTCGGAAAATTCTCTATATGCTCGGCGGTCCAAGGATAGAGTTCTGAGGGATGAGGTCCTCAGGACGAGGCGCCTCATACAACGTAAATCCACCCTTGCACCCCTTACGATCCTTAGGTCCCCATCCCTCAGGACCCCAGCTGTAGAAGAAACAAAAACGACAGAATCATAAACTTTCGACGGTCCACGCGGATTTCTTGGATCTGAGCTGGGCCCCCCTCCCTGGCGCGCAGAGCGCGCCAGGGGCGGCGCCGCAGGCGCCGCCAGAGGGTCCCGGCGCCGATCCAAGAAATCCGCGCGGACCGCCAAAAGTTTACGCGTATGTCGCTTCGGGGGCGGCCACGAAAGGGGCGTCCAAGAGGGGGGGGCGCACATCATGGCCGGCGGCATGTGCGCGGCCCAGGGGGGGGGGGGCAGGGGACGTATGGAAATTCGCCGGCCCAACGGGCCAGAGGCGTGCTAAGATCTCCGGTAACTGGTTAAGAATATTTCTAGTTCGCGCGCGCGGAGCGGCCCCTGGGGGCCCCCGGACGAAAAGTACCCCGGCAAGGTCCCGGGAGAACCCACCAGAGCACTCCAGGGGAGGGCCATTTTTCGACGCCCCTCACGAGGATCGTGGCTGCCGAGGGGGGAGCCGCAATCGACTACCCCCCTCCCGCCCCAAGAGGCCCCCACAAGCCCCCCAAGAGGCCCTGGGGGCCCCTAAGACGCCGCCAAGGAGCCCCAAGAGACTCCCAAGAGGTCCCCAAGAGGCCCCCAAGAGCCCCTAAAGAGGGCTCCAGGGCCGGCGGAATGAGCGAAGCGACTAAATAAGAAGAAGCGCCATGAAATCTGGGGCGACATCATGGCCCCCGCCATGATATCCACCCCCACCCCTAGTCATCACCCCCCGCGTGGCCGCCCCCGATCGCTTCTCTTCTCCGAATCTCTGCACCACCGACACGCCAGGGATCCGCGCGCGAACCCTACCCCTGCCCCACACGATCTCTGAGGGGGAGGGTGGGGTCCGCCTCGCTCGGGAGCTCCCGAGCGAAGTGAATCCCACCCTCCCCGGCCCTCCCCCCCCAGTGTGACGAAGGAACAACACACACCCATACCCATAGGGAGGTCGTTGGGAGGAGGACTGGCTATGGGGATGGGTGCGGATTGTCCGTTCCTGGGGAACGCTCCCGTTCGAGCGGGGACCCCCATCCAACAACACGCACCCATAGCCCTCTCCGATCCCCCTATGGATATGGGTTCGTCACAGAGATCGTTTCTGGGAGGGGGTGGGACTCGCACGCGGTCCCCTGGCGTGCGCCGCTCACCACCGCCACCCCTCGGCACGAGACACTCGCACGCAGGAGCAACGGGCCCGCCGAGCCCGGCTCGGCGGCCGCCGGCGCCTCGCGCCGGCCCGGCGGCCGCAGGGGAGCACCTCCTGCGAAGAGAGGCCCTATAGTGGTCGGGGCGATCCAGAATCGCTTGAGCACAGGGAAGCGATTAAAGCTCACGAACTCGACGAATTCCGACGCAGCAGGCAAACGGAAAACTGCGTCGCCCTCACGCCTTCGCCACACTGAAATGCACGACTACAGCTGCAGCGACTTAGCGCCGCAACAGGCTAGAGCGAAGTGGGAGCGGGAGCAGGAGAGAGAGAGAGAGAGATGGAGAAGGAAGGGCTGGGGGGAGGAGGCAGGGAAGAGGGAAGAGGGAGCAGGGAGAGGAAGGGACGAGGAGGGACGAGGAGGGAGGGCGAGGGGCGGATGGAGGGAGAGAAGAGCCGGGAGGGAAGAGGCACGAGGACGGAGGGCGGAGGGAGGAAGGAGCTGGGACGAGGGACACGGCGTGGGGGGGAGGGAGGCGCGAGGGAAACAGGGGGAGGGCGAGGAAAGGGGAGGGGAGGAGAGGGAAGAGGGCGAGGGGAGCCGAGGCACTGGGCCCCCGTCCTCTGCCGATGCGGCTCCTGCTCCCGCCATGCCCTCCCTCGTCCTCATCCTAATAGTCCTCCTCCCTCCTTCCCCCCCTCCATCACTCCGCTCCCCCTCCCCGACTCCCCATCCTCCTCATCCTCCTCCCTCCTCCACCGCCTCCTCCGCCTCCTCCTCCCGCTTCTCTTCGTGTCCAAAATCCTCCTCATGATCCTCCTCTTCCTGATCCTTGTCCGCCTCCGCCTCCGCCTCCGCCTCCGCCTCCGCCTCCGCCTCCTCCTCCTCCTC